CGGAGGAACAATGCCACTCACATCGAGCACCCGGGCGAGCTTCACTCTAGCCTCTTGGATATTTTCCGTCCCGGCCTTCTCCATATCCGCGATGAGCTCCTCCAAGACCCACTGCCGCAGCACGAAGCGCGGGTTGACCCCTTCCATCGCACGCCGCCGCGCACTCTCCCACTCGCCCTCTTCGACTCCCTCGCTCCACGCCGAGACCTCGTCGGAATCGAGCACCCGTTGAGCGTACAGGTCCAACCAGTGCTGCACCTCCTGGACAGCCGGGTCCACTGCATCTCCAGGAAGGTTGACCGTCGCATTGGCAACCATACTCGCGGCCTGCAGGCGGGTGTAGTTGTTGTCCACCGACTTGGACGGCTGGAACGCGCAGAGCAATCGCAGCGAGGCGTGAAAGTCGAGCGAGTGAGTGTGGAGCAGCGTGAGAAAGTCGTAAAACACATCCCGGTCGTCCGTGCTTTTGTTCGTTTTCAGCCCAAACCGCTACGGGATTAGCTTCAGCTCCCAAAGCTACAGTCGCCACTCACCTTGGCCCATCCCCGCCGTTCAGTCGCTCGCTCCACGTCCCAAAACGCATCCTGCCAGTCTTCCATCACTTCCGCCGCCTTTGCTTCCAGCTCGCGCACGTCCTCCTTCGACCTGCCCTCGGACCAGCCCGAGGGAGCGGCACCGTGGATCGCTTCGTACCCGATCAGAGGGGACAGAGCCTGGACGAGTTTGTCGAGGGCAAAGAGGACTCGCTCGGGTTGGCGGCGGTAGGAATACAAGCCGGATGGATCGGAATGGTCTGTCCGTGTGAGCTTTCGCCGTGTCCCGTGACCTACTGCAGATATGCCCGGCGTCCCAGACGTCCATGAACGCGTACGGTCCATAGTCGATCGTGAGCCCGAGGACGCTAATGTTGTCCGTGTTGAGCACCCCATGCATCCATCCGTACACCTGGGGTCAGTCTGAGCTGCTCGGCGTCTTGATGCGCGGGGTATGGCGGGACCGCTTCTAGCCCCATCGCCCATGCTCCACCCTCCCAGACCCTTTCGACCCTAAAGAGTGGCATTCACGATGGCGCAACCCATCCCCGGCGGGACGCAATGCGTCAACTGCAAAACTCCAAAGCTCACCTGCCATCCGGCGACCATCTCGGCGTTGCGCCTGACGACCTCTCTCACCCACCCCTCGGTCGATCCCTCATACCCCATGACCCTCTTGCACCACTCTGCAAGTTCCCTCAGGCTCTCCAAATTCCCCTGTCCGTCCAACGGCCCTTCCTTTTCCGTGTCGTCCTTCAACCAGCCCCCTCCGCCGAGGAATATCTGCGAAAACCCCCGCGCGCTCTCGCTCGGGTTGAGCGCTTCGAAATGGCCGATGCGGATGAAGCTCGGGGCAAGTCGAGCCGTCAGCGAGGTCGGTTCCGGCCCATTCTCCCGGATGACCGGGAGGTCCTCGATAGGTACCGTCAGCAGCGCGAGCGACCGCGTGGTGGGTATACCCAACGCGGCTACGGCTGCACCGTCAGCGGAGGACTCTTTCACTCCGACCCTACCCTCGCACCCCAAAAACTCTCTGACGCCGGAACGAAGCACGGCGAGTCCGTCGGCGGATCGGGAGAATGGCGTACGCCCGGCACCTTTCAGTTGAATCTCTGTTCTCCGGCCATCGGGCAGTTGCGTCTCGATCAGCGAAATCGCCCTTCCATCGCCCAGCTGCCCGGCCCACGACCCAAACTGATGACCGCAGTATCGCGTCGACCACGGACCGTACGCCGCGTCGCCTTGGTCCTCCGACATCAACACGTGTCGGCCCGACAACACATCGACGAGCGCGTCTCTCGCCTCGCTCCCGCTCCCTGCGGTGCCTCGGCATAGGTCGACAGCGTCCCCCACGTCGAGATGCGGCAGCCTGTCGTCCAGAGCCTTTTGAGATATTCCCAAGAGCTCCGGCTTGATCTTCAATCGATGCGCGCTCGATCTCGCTTGCAGCCCGTTCGGGCCCGTCGACAACACCTCGTTCGGGTCCCACCGCGCCAACACATCTTCCACCGATACCTGCCCGCCGTTCTCCAGATCCACACCGATCGCCTCGACTTCCTCCTTGGTAACCCTCAGCGGCCACGCCGTCCACAGCGGAGCGACACGAGCCCATATCCCCGGGGTCGACGTCTTGAATGTCGTCGACCGGCGTTGAGCAGACGGTTGCGGTTCGAGCGGTAGCCGAGGGAGGCATCTCTGCAGCGGGTCCGGCGCCAGAGGCAGGTTATGGATGGGTAGCTGGCGAGTCGACATGGTCCTGACACCACGCATGCGGATCGGCATCAAAGGTGAGAGAATGTAGGATGGCTCGAGTGCATCATGTAATAATCTCCAGTGGTGACTGACTGTCATCGGGTAACGGGAATGACGGGCGGTCGGGCGTCGCCGACGATTTACCGCGTCCCAGTCTTGCCCTGATTCGCCTCGGCCGTTGACGATCTCTCTTCTTCATGGAAGCTTTCACCTAAGCATATCTAGACATGAATCCAGGCCGAGGCGTCGCGCGCGCATCACTTACCGAGGACATGGGCTCACCCCTGCATGCCGAGCGGCTCATTGGGTCTCCCCCGCCCGCTCCCGGTATGCCCGCTTGGCCGCCTCGACCGCGAGGTCCAGTGCGCCTTCAGATGAATATGGGCTGAAGCGGCTGACCTTTGCCGCTCGGGCACGGGCTCGCTGGTACGTCTCCGACATTGCGCGTCGTCGAGGGTCGAAATTATCCTCGTCGAGTTCTCCCCTATCGCCGCATCGGTCGTTCCGCCGCAAGTACTCTACGAGCCGAGTCGGGCGAGGCTCCATGCCGAGCATGACCTCTGGTCGAGTCGTCCCGCTGATGGCCTTCTGCAGCGTCGACCACGAGCAGACCCGCCCCGGGGGTAGAATACCTCGCACGATCCTCTCCCACGCCTCGACGTCGTCGGCGAATGGGAGTTTGCAGGTCTGCACGACCTGATCGAGGACCTCGATAACTCGTCGGACCTCGGCACGCGTCAACACAGACTTTGCCGTTGCGGGGTCCACCAAGTTGACTTGCAACCCTCCCCGGGCAGAGTCCGTCGATCGGAAAGCGATGATCGCGACCGACTCTAGCCAGTGACGCCCTTTGGCCGGGAACACGCGGGTGGGATGCGCCGCATCTTGGCCGGGTAACCAGCAGTTCTTCTGCCACTGGTCGAAGGGCGTCGCTGCGATCGTCGCGCGCATTAGCCGATTTACCCCCTTCCTGCCGTGCGACCTCATGCGTGTCGACACGTTTTTCGACTGGCCGATATAGACCTCTACGATCTCATCGGACAAGTCGATGGGGGAGAGGGCGTACAGGCCCGGATGGTCCCAGGCGGTGGCGTCCATGCCCGAACCAAACAGCCATCCTCTCCTCGTCAAGAGGTCCTCTCCTGACACGAACCTGTCGGCGTTATTGACAGCTCCCCGCAGCATTGTCGTCTTACATTTGACACAGCTCGAGCAACCTCGGACAGATCCTCATTGCCGCCGCCATCACAATGCACCATCGCGGAGCGCCCGAGACAGTGTCGATCCCGAACATCGCGTCGCCGAGCCCAGAGACATAACCCCAAGACGGCTTTATCCCAGACATCGGGTCGGGCCTGAGACGTCTCAGTGACTTGCTCCCCGTTCCCTGCCGCCTGTTTTGACTTGCGCGTAAAGGGGCACTGGCTGCCTGTCCGTGGGCCGGGTGATGTGCACCGTGCCGACCAAGAAGGTGGTCCCTCGAGAAACTGGTCAATCTGATCCTCCATGACCTTCCAGGTCTCCACGTCTAGCTTGCAGGGCTGCTCATCCTCCTCCCACTACCTCGTCAGCAGGATACGCCCTTCTTCCACTCACTGTCTCTTCGTGCCAGGGCATGTCTGTAGGCTACCGGTCAGCTTATCTCTGGAGTCGGACGCACTATTCTGTAATCTCGAAGGGTTGATAAGAGATGGAGAGGCGACATTGAGGCAACGGGTGGGGAGAGGGGATGAAAGTAAAGAGGGAGGAAGCGGGGGGAAGGGGGGAGCGACCTTTTAAGCCAGTGGATTGCGTCCATTGGGCCCATTGCGCCCTTTTGATGCTACCGAACCCCATAGGACCCTCCCTTGGGGCGTCTCCTAGCAACCTGTACGTCTCGACGAGTGCTTCTTTCAGCGGTCCCGAGTAAGAGCAACGTGCCGAGCATCGTGCCTCGAGGCTGAGCTATCAGCACGCCCCCTTCGTGTGGCACAGCTTGCTATCTAAGGGAGAGGGATGGGATTGAGAAGACCGTGCACGAGGCCACGAGACCGGCTCATCAAAGTCCATGCGTCCCACTGGGGCGACCAACGTTGCACAGCCACCCCTCCCCCTCCCTCCACCCCACCCCACCAACACAAGACACGAGGTTGTGATTGAACGCAGCTTCGGAAGCGTGTGTGAGGCTTCACAGGTAGACTAGAGGGCCGGGCACCGTCGTTTATGCGAGAGGACTGCGCCGTCATTACACAAGCAGGTGACGCCCTGTATAGCGAGACCAAGGAAGAACAATTCCATCACTGGCCACTCGACACCAGCGGTAGACGCAGTGATACCCAGGTCGAACAGATTCATTACCCGCCAGTGACTCTGAGAAGTACGGCCCAGCAAAAGTTGTGACCCCTTCCGCACAGGATACGCTTAAACCCCACGCGAGCTGTGAAAGACCGTCCTCTCTGGCCCGCCATCGGCGATGTGGCTCGCAGGCCGGGCAGATGTAAGGCGCTGGCGCCGCCTGCCTCTGAGGGGGGCGTGTTTGATGTATCTCGACAGCCGTGAAGCAAGACACGAGGCGCACGGCTGTTCACCGCAAAGGGTGATGGACGATCAAGGGTTCATACTCCCCCTCCCCGCATAGTGATCGGACCGCGGTTATACCGACCTGCGGGGGAAGAAGCGAAATGCATAAAAAGGTTCTCTAAAAGGGGGCCGAGAGAGAGCAAAAAAGAAAACCTTTGACGACAGTGGGATTCGAACCCACGCCCTTTCGGAATAGCGTTCGAAGATAAACCTGAAGCTATCACCTTAACCGCTCGGTCATATCGCCGATGTGATCGTATGATGTTTTGCAACACCCATTTGTGATATATATAGGGGGCTTCCTATCAGATGCCTGTCATACGGCCTATAAGCCTTGCCTTCCTGCCAGGCTTGGCCAGATCGAGGAAGCCAATGGTCCAACGGGAACGTCAGCTGGCTTGCAGCCACAAGTTTGGTAAGTATCAGTCGCTAGACATGAGTCATGCATCGGCGTCATCTAATGAAGCATGGTAAGAGTGGCAATATCCACGAATGTTTTTTGGCAGGACACCCATGTTGGAAATGGAGGAGTTGGAATGTCCTTTGATACGTCTCGCAGCCCATGCACAAAATGCACAGGCGGCCCTTGTAGAACACCATACGATGACATCGACGATATGCCCGAGCGGTTAAGGTGATTGGCTTCAGGTTTATCCGGCTCGAACGCTATTCCGAAAGGGCGTGGGTTCAGCGTCGAAGAATAAAAGGGAAAGGCACAGTGCAGTGCCCTGCCATTCCGACTTGACACTAGTTCTCAAGTTGCATGCCGACGCACAGCCGGAGGAGCGGCTCGAGGCTGTTAAAGTATCACATACAGTGCCCGAAGAGACCGTGCATGGATGACGGAAGGAGAACGGGCAAAAAGCGGAAAGGAGATAGCCTGGAAACTTAGCTACTGGCCTACTTTCAGCTTCAGCCAGTATGCCATTCCACGAGCAGCTCCCCTATAGCCAAAGCCAGGCGAGGTAGCCCGAAAGTCCTAGGACTAGTGTCGTATTGGACTCGAGAGCCCAAGAGGTGTCATCTTCCCACGGGGAGCTCGGGTAACTCAACCTGTCAGGTCTCAGCTACAACACTAACCCCTCCCCCCCATGCTCCCTCCCCCTCCTCGTCTCAAGCTGTCACCAACATTTCCGCGGTTCACATGGTGCGAGAAAGCAGTCAGGTGAGATCATCGCTTAGTCGGGAGGAGGATGTGCACGATCGCCGGGTATCCACTGCACGCTGCCTATACTTGGATGTCGCCGCTAAGCGGCCCCCTCCCCGCCCTCCCTCCCTTTCCTCTCATCCTGTCTTCACGCAACGGTGCAGTAGCTGATTGTAGCGGTGTTTTGGAGTAGCTAGATCAAATACGTCCGGCTCAGAGCCAGATATGGAGGGAACCCTGAGGTTCTGCCTTTGCGCAAATCAGTCAACCGGGCAATGTCCACGACGGATCCTAACGCTCCGCGATGTCCGCTATAGTCTACGAGTGATCGCTCAAGCCGTCATCCATATCTGCCGTCCCGTTCATCGTGTGAGATCGCACCGAAAAGCAACTAAGCGGTCGGTCCTTCCCGTCAGTCTGTCGCTCTTCCTGGTCGAAGCTGGTAGAGAGACATTGATCGGTCGCGAGAGATTATCCGCCACCATGCCACGGGTCGCCCCGGGTTACGTCATGACGTCATTTCCCGTTGACAAGAGTCACCTTCTCATCACTGCATACTGGTTCGATGAAAGCTCGTTTTGTTTGTCGTTAACATAGACGGCAGACCCTATCAAGTTATCCTCCAGCGCACCATGCCAGTCTCCTTGCGCGTACTCGTCTCGACCGACTCGGCCTACCCGCCCACCACACCCATCTCGGTCAACTCTTCCAGTCCCACCCGGATCTCGACGGGGAAGTTTGAAGGGGAGATTTCGGTCTGGGTGAAGGATTTCCACGGGGAAGGGGCGGGTGGGGATGGGTCCGAGTACTTTGACAAGCGGTCAGGCATGACGTATGGGATCGTCGTGCGCGGCAAGTTTCTTGATGCGCCGACGGCGGACGAGGTGGTGTTTGGGAACGTGTTTGAGCGGCCCATCCGAGACTCGCTCCCCTGGGGCACGGCCGTCGCGGTCAAATTTATGAAGTGAGCGGAAGAGACATGGATGCAGCTGATGGCCAGCTGGGTGGATCCGACGCTGGAACTGGACATCTACGCGGACAAGCCGTGGGCGCTGTCTCCCGCGATGGCGAGCATGTCAAACGTGTCGTTTGGTGAGCGATCGACATCGGCGTGGGTGGACGAGCAGAGCAAGGGGGAGGTGGGGGTGGAGTCGCCGGATGAAAAGGGGGAGATTGCCGCGCGGCGCAAGTGGTTTGGGGTGGAGAAGAATCGCCAATCGGTCAAGTTGGACAAGGAGGTTGGGATGGAGTTTGCGAATGGCCTGTTGGGTAGGAGAAGTCGATCGTTGAAAGGTAGCCACTGACGAGGTCAGACTTCAACACGCTCTCGGCGACCCTTCCCCCTCCTTTCCACCTGTCCGTCCCGTTGTTGCGGTACTGGGACGGCCAGCCGGTCACTTATGTCTGTCGACGACGATCCAAGTCGCCTGTAACGGCGGATGGAGTGTATTGGAGCGTTGGTTTCGAGATTGTGGACGAAGAGGCCAAGGCGGAGCTGGAGAAGCGGGGAGGGAGCGTCTTGCCCTTGGAGGGGGACTCGTCGAAGAGCGGTGCTCCTTTGCAGAAGGATGCGGCGGGGGGTGGGAATGAGGAGGAGGATGAAGGTGTGGATTAGGGTGTGGACTAGGACGCGAGGGAGAGGTGGCGAGTGGGGGGAGGAGCGGGGCAGGGGAGGGAAGGGAAGGGAGGGGTTGGGTTGAGCGAGGGAGTAGGGGAAAGGGGTTGGAGCCAGCGAGCGAGTGTGGAGTGGGACTGGATGAGAGGAATGAACGAGGATAGTATGAGCCAGGCGTCAGCCTTGGAATATGTAGTATAGACGCTTTAAGATCAGACACTTTCAACGAAGACTTTCAATGTAGACCCGATGCCATAGACCGCCGCGCTCACGTCTACTCGCAGCGTCAGATCCATCTCGCGCGTTGCTATCGACCCTGCTCGCCCTCTCCCAACACCTTGGTCTCTCCCCAGCTCACACTCCGCTTGTTCTTCTTATCCGCGGCATCGGATCCCCCCACCTCTCCCGCCTCTCCCGCCTGCCCCGCCTCGGCCGCTTCGACAGCTTCCGTCAACTCGACCTCGTCCTCCAACGCGCGCATCTCCCGCTCAAACTCCTCGTCCGCGGTGAGGTCCTCCCCCATCGGGACACTCTCGTACGCTGCCGCGGCGGCCCAGTCGATCTGATCGACATCTTTGAACGCCGGCGGCATGGTCACGTAAAACACCATGACGCTGAGGCAGGCCCCGCCTGCGAGGTCGATGAGGTAGTGGTGCGAGAGGTACATGGTGGACCACCACAACACGCCGACATAACCCCAGTAGACCGGTTTGAGTGTGGGGAAAAAGTGGGACAGGAACAACGCTTCCATCACTGCGCAGCCCGAGTGGAGCGAGGGAAAGGCGCCAAAGACGAGCGGGGCGCCTCCAAACGCGTTGGTGTAGCCGGTCGAGTGGAAGACGCGGTCGATACGGAGCAGACCGCCTGGGGAGCCGGGCATCGAGTAGTTGGCCGGGGTGAGACCGTGGATGATTTCATACCCTGCGGGTCAGTGGGACGATCACAGCTCGTGCACTTACAAGGCGCAGCGCAGGGAAAGATCAGCTGGGTGATGACCCCGAGCAGGTTCATGAACCCAAACGCCCTGCCCCAGTATTGCACCGCGCCGCGCGGGCCGAATATCCAGAGGACGAGCGCGACGACAAAGGGGAGAGCGAAATGCAACACGCCGTAAGGGAGCCACGCGAGGACGTCGAGAAAGGCGTTGGTGTATCGAGTCTGGAGGTCGCTGATGTTTGCGCCGTACAGCACGCTCTCCAAGGCGGGAAGCAGCGCGACGTGGATGGTCGGGCGGTGCTGAGAGGGGATGAAGCGGGCGCAGAAAAAGGTGATGAGCCAGGCAAAGACCGGGGTGGCCGGGTAGACAAACTGCGAGGTGATGGGTAGGAGGAGGGCGAGGATGTAGATGGTCGGTAGGAACAGTCGAAACGCGATGGGGGCGGACATGATGATCAGACTAAACATCGCGCACGAGGCCATGAACAGCAATGGGATCGTGTTGGTCACGGTAAACTTGTGCGATCTGAGCTTGTGTAGCGTTTTCCGAGGATCTCGCGAGAGGTCTAGGCGTTGGAGCGCGGCCGTCGCGGCGAGGATGAGCGGGGTAGGGGAGGTGGAGATGGAGGAAGGGAGGGGCAGACGGCGCGCGAGGCGGAGCAACGGAGAGAGGATCATGCGTGGGATGGACGCCGAAGGGGTCGAGGTCGACGACTCTCTCCTCGAGGCTTGTTCTCGCCTTGACATGGTTTGGGCGGTGTGTGTCGAGTAAAGACAACAGTCGTAGGGTTAGAGGTGAAAACACAAACTCGGGTCGACTTCGAAAACGAACATTCTCTCCCCATCATGTCCCACCCGCTGGTCATACACGCAACCCCACCGCTCGCACCGCTCCCGGCGAGCGATATCGACTCGATCTACCTCATCTCGGTGGCTCAGCTGCAATGCCCGGGCAGATGGAGTCTGACCACAGGTGGTTGGGGAGACAACCGGGGTGAGTCTGAAAAGTCGCACCAGGCTCACTCTATAGGCGACCTGCCGTACATCACCCACCTCGATCGTCCAGTCGCACCGTCTCACCTCCCCCACCCGGACGCCGACCTCTCGCCAGCCGACCGCGCCGAAGCCCTCGCCTGGGTCGCGTACATCGATGCGAAAGTCTCAGACCTTGTGGTGAGTCCGGGGCTATGAGCGCGCGCTCACCGTCAGAACCACTCGCTGTATTCGCTCCCTCGGAACCACGCGGAAAAAGTCGCCCCGGCCCAGGCTGCGTCGCTGAGCTTTCCTCGCTCGGTGTATGTGCCGCAAAGACTACGAGCGATGTATAAAACCCGCCTACAGGCGGTAGGTCTATGGGGCCTTGGCGGGATCTCTGAAGGTGCGTCGCTGCGTGACATTCTCGCTCACCCCAGCCGACCTCGCAGACGAGGATCGCAAACGGCTCGAACAGGTGTATGTGCAAGCGCCAGGAGGCACTGTCGCCCCGCGGGCCTGGTCGGGCTGGCGCGCGGGCAAAGAATACGAGGAGCGTCGGCGCAAGCGCGGCGAG